ATAATAATAATAATAATAATAATATATATATATATATATATAATAAGGTTATTACGACAATACCTCAAAGTATGCACTCAGACAGTACGCCGCGCATCGACTACTCCAGCTGTACTGTCTTTGTGCATACTTTGAGGTATTAATAACCTCATATTCTCATACCATAAATGGCCATGTATAAGCGGCAGTGTGTATATAAACACATCTGTAAAACACTGTGCAACCAATTTAACTGCATACTTGTTGAGAAGCCTAATTGATATGTAAGTCTAAATACGTCTTTGATATGTAAATCAAAATTGCTGTAGATAGGTAATATAACAGTCCATAGTTAAAATGACGAATATAAATACTCGTTGTGCATTTTGACTTTTTATAAGGTATCCGATAGGTTTGATCGGGTGTCTAATCAATTGCGATGTTGTTGGATAATTAGCTTTTTGTAATTTGTACCAGGGCTTAGGTTTTTCCCTGAAAAAGTTTCCATATTTTGAGAATTATCAGGAAAGAAAAATTGTGGGCGACACATCACGTATACTTTTCATATCTGAGTACCTCTTCCAGGGCTGAGTCCATGTCTATGCGTGTCTTATGTGCGTCACGTAGTTACGTTTGTTTCATTAGTCTACTCTCTAACATCCTGGGTAGGCCACATTGCTTTCGAGTGGATACGTAATTTTCAAATTTCCTTTAGCGGATATACTAAATCGAACGGGTTTTTTTGCAATCTTACGTTATCGCTGGTGACTTTTGTGAATGCATATTGTGAGCGAGACGTGTGACACATTTCATCAAATTAGACCGTATATGAAATGAAATCATAAGCGTTTCCTCGTAAGTGAAGGAGAGAGGTAAATTTTCTGTTTAGAAATCATTTCAAAGAAGTCATTTTTAATTTAACACTCGTGTTCCAAATATACTTCCTTCCATTTAATAATAATTTCTCTTGTTTGATCAGAAAAAATGACTATGCAATAATCGTTACGCGAATTTGCAAACTAAATTGTGCGCGAAAGACACAAACACATTAGGGTCAACTAATATATATTACAAAATCCGAGATTTGCGCGAATAGGTAACTCAAAGAAAATAAACTAATACTAATATATATTCGCCAAGGTGGATTATGTTGATGTTCTTGAAATGACAGTGCACGCATGCCCTCATATTTTGTATCTTCATATTTCACAGGCCATTATTAGTCCGAACATGGTGACGATAATTTGAAGAGATTGCGGTATTTATTGAACTTATTCAGTTTGCACGTTATCAATCCATGACGCACACGTCACGCACAGTGTCATTGAATTGATATAGTACTATGACTGATCGCAGATAACGACATAATTGGTATTGAAAGCACAGCTTGGAAAAGAGTATTGAATGGTGCCCAGCTATGGATCACTCCAATTTCGTAAGCAGAAATCGTGGTGGTATTGTCATACTGTGTCCTTTCTGTGTCAATTGTAATTTAATACACATACACTGTAAATGATCTTGTTTTCTGATACTATCTCTTGTATTTGGATATACGAGACAATCCATGGCCGCAATAGGCTTCTGTGACCTCATCGTTACGTAAATGACTAAAAATTATGTTGTTGAAAAAAGACACTTGTAATTAATCATATATAAAACAAATGTTTTAGAAAACCGGTATGGTATTTGAGAGGCGACCAAAGACGAACACTATCGATACTGTGATGGCGTCCCTCGGAATCATTTAAGTTTCGTTGCTAGTGTCGCGGCACATGAACGGTGTATTGCGATTCTTCATACATGCATTAGGTAATTCTTGCATATCATTATTTGCAAAAACTACTGAAAAGGTTGTTGAAAACATGTCATACGTACACAAGTGGTGATACAACATATTTTATTCGAAATTGGATCACTTTTTCCATTCAATAAACACGTTTGTGTTAATTATAGGGATATAAGAACAGTAACTGTACCACAAAGGTGTTTATTACAAAGATTGTCGTATTAATCATCCCCGAACAATATGATGCACGGTCCACTTGCCCGAACTCTCAATTCTTTCTCAAACACTATTCTGCACACCATTAATTAAATAACACATTTTATTTGTAATGCAATACGTTATTGCTGCCCATGACACGGCACCAAAATCCATATATTTATGTTCCACGTGGATTGTATTATTGATGGTGCAGTTTCATTAAGCCTAGGTTTCATTTCAACAACAAACATGGAAATAATCAAATAGTAAACAAAATATAAATTTGACTTATTAAACATTATTATTAAACAGTTTTTTGTCGTAATACAGTATAACGTGACAATCATGACAACGAATATATAAACATAAACATGCATAGTATACATTCCATGGCGTATCTATGAAATAATAATACTATATTTGGTTGTCATAGAGATTACTAAAATCTAATATGGTTTCACACTAGGAACACTTATACAACACTTTAGTTCCATAAACTTCGTGATTGTCAGTAATTTGATATTTCCATTTGCATTACAATTGTCAACAATTTAATGGGATTTCAATCAAGCATATACATTAGTCGTTTAGTTAGAATTCAATCAAACTGCTAAGTAGATTTCTAGTCTATCTTTTAACGATAGTATTAGTTTTTATGAAGAGCAAATGTGAATCGGGTTTTAAAAATCAAGCCCACTTTCCTTTACATCCTAAATTGAGATAACGTCAATTATATACGCGAATGCATTTACCCCGCAAGCTGCAGCCATTACACGTTTCAACTTAAAATGTGTTTGCGTTTCATATTGACTGTATTGAAAATCTTTATTTATTTTAAATCGAACAATTCATGTGTCGTTTTAAATTACATTGAGTCATGGTAATTATAATGGTGCCAGTAGAGACGAAAATAATTGTTGAGCATCTTTAATATAAATACAAAGCAGTCGATTAAATACAGTATTTTCAACGAATGGGCAACCATTCATTCAATTACTTTGGTTTTAGTTAGGTAGTATGAACACTGTCTACTTAGTGGCATTTGGTATTGTGGTGAGGGGGAACGTGTTTCCATAGTAACCCCGTCACCCAATTAGACACGCTTGGTGTTCGGTGTGACCTTAGATTCTTTCCATCATTTTTCAAGCTGATACGATGGTATCACATATATACTGTACATTGCTACGTATTGATTCATAATGTCTGTTGCTGTGTTTGTACCTATCTATATATCACCCGATGTCCACCAATGTACACTATCTGTATAGTGCATCTTCAAGAGCAAGCATTGCGAAAAATTATTCGTAGACAAATAGTTATGAAGGTCGACGACTGATAATTTGGTAACATAAAATATAATGTCCATAGACAGGCAATACTACATTTTTAAATTCAAAATGATGCTTTCCGGTAATATAATGATAACAATATCAATGCAAAATCTTTGCATTGCAAGACTGTGGTCATTCTCGTAAAACGGGTAATAGTATAATAAAATACAGAACGCACAAGGGAATGTTTCTTTTGAGGAAAGCCGATATACATAACCAGATAAAAAGATAATAGGCACCGTCTTAATAACAAATCCGGGCTCAATAATTTGATTGTTGACATACAATGCGAGTGTTGGTGCATTATATTTCTCTTCATTGGCTATGAAATATAAATATTGTTAAACTATGATTTATCAACGTATTTTTTCCAGGTGTTGGTGTCACGTGATATGCCGTGTCCGGGTACGTCATCAAAACCGCCATTTTTGTTCATCTAATTTCGTAGCTAGTCGTTATATAATAACAACACACAGCTCGTCTTTGGGGGGATGTTGGATTTAAAAAAATTGTGATATTTTAAATGTGTCAATACTTAATTCTTATCGATGATGTGAACACCTATTTACGTGATGGTGCAGCTACTATGTTTCAAACCATTTCGCATTCTTGCCTGCGAGTTTTGTCCCGACTTTCACAAATAACCTTCAAAATGTCAGTGAATACCGATACAACGTGCCAATTATATTTTGCAGAGCACTCAACGTAAACCGACTTCCAGTTCTTCTTTACCGTATGTGCCATGTCTCGTCTTGACTGACTATTACATTTACCCAAATCACATTTATTGCCGGCAACAAGCATGGGTAGTTCATTTGCACTGCTGGCACGATAGTCAAGGATCTGTTCCCGAATGTCCTTAATATATTCGAAACTGCCACTATTAAAGATATCAAATATAAGAATAAACGCTGCCGCATCTTTTACTTCATCAGAGTATGATTGAAAGTCCACCCAATCGTAGAAGCTCTTCATTTGAAAATATTGCAATGGAGGGGTATCGATAATATTCAGTTGATAGAGCCGTGTATTCGCCAAAACAGCGGGAGTGTACGTTAACGCCGATGTTGTCGGCGAATGACGAATCGGAAATGTGCAATCCAGATATTGCTGTATTACGGATGATTTTCCAACGGCAGGTGCGCCAAGTACTGCTACATCAATCGACTGCATGGTCAATCCAACGAGTTTATGGATGCTGGAAGTCGTAACAAATTAGGGTAGACTCGCTAATAAACTCGACACTCTAAACCCGCATTGGTGGATGCTCGATTCCGCTTGTAGAAACGGTCACAACCGTGGTTTCACGGCGATGAATCCATACAATGTCAAACATTTCGCTGGCTATGTTGCAGCGTTGATACATAAATATATCCAACATCACCTTTTGCCCGGAACGTTGTGGGGGGACGTGTTCAGTTCATATTGGAGAGCAACACATCACATATACTGAAATACAGAAATACAGTCCAGGGAACGACCCCCTAGGTGAGTTGCAAAACACACATGACAGAGCAGTAAATGTAACACAAGTGTATTCCCTGAGCGTTATACATGAATCAATACAGATTTTACGCTTATACCATCTTGAACAGACTACGCACACTCAGAACGCGCTGGGAAGATATAATTCTTGAACACTTCTTCATTTATTAAGCTTCGAACATGAATATTTGAGCTTTAAGCTTAATTCAATCCTAATTAGTAAGCCACCTTCTGTGAAATATGGCAGTGATACACTTAACCTATGTGTACTTATTATGTTAAAAAAGTGTGGTTTCAAATATGCGCTACTTGTCGTGTTTTTTTTAACTAAGTTGAGCTGCTAACTGATATTTATTTGACAAAATTCTAAAATAGAAAATGTATTTATTTTTTCAAATTTGTGTAAATATTGTCATTGATAATCATAATACAGTTTATTGACTACTACGTATGATTGGGTGCGTGATTTTAGTTAGGAAATATGAAGCTATTCCAAAAATACCACAAAGTATGCATGAAGGCATTACGGCGATCCTGTGCTGACTGAGTGCATACTTTTCTGTATTCTCGTGATAACTTATTTATACGTCTTCCTGCATGGAGTATTAAGTTAATGAGATATAGCCCAAAATGCAGTTCTTTACCCAGGTTATTGCTATATATAGTGCTTTTGCGTCCAATGTAAACAGAGAGAAGGGTTGGAATGTGCTCTTAATGACCCATAACTCGTCTACGTTGGTGTTGTAGTTTACTGCAAATAAGTGAAACTCGAACTAGTACGTTTTGGAAAGAGTACTGATATGGCTTTTTGGCTTTTTCTACTGTTCTTGTTGACAGATGTACATTAGTTAATACTACATATTGCAGTCAATCGAACTTAATAACTATACTTAAATAAGCGCTTCCAGTCAATAATATAATAATATATATCTGAATCGTCGAATAGTTTCCCATTGACACTGCAATGAATTTACATAATGTTTGTGGCGGTTTTCTTAAGTCAAAAAAACTGCACTATGGGAAATGAAAAGATACAAGGCAAGTGTAAGTCACTCATCTATAAGTATACACGTTTTTCATCGTTATATCCGTACAACATGATCTAAGAAGAAAGTAATTTGCAAGAACTAAACTCTCTAGATTAACCTTCACTGCTTGTACTGGTTAGGATAACTTTGAGAAACGTCATATATTTCAATCTTACACGTTCGAATTCAAATAAAAATAAAATATTATCTCATTCATGTGTTTCTATGGCAGAAATCATGAACTGGTGACAAAATACGACAAATCACTTTAGCCTCTGATCTCTGATTGTTTCAGCATCCTTTATCTTTCGTGAATTGACTTATATTGTATTGATATATGATTGGTGATACCGGTGGGATAGGATATGGTCACCATTTTGCTAACACGCAGTCGTTTTGAGGTTAAACTTAAGATATATTATTATTGTAAAGATGAAATCAGTTTTTGTTATAGCTATATAATGTAGGTAGTTTCGTGCAAAATTATGACAGTTATATTTTGAGTTATTATTACGCTGATTATCGTTACGTATTGCCATTTCTGAACAATGAAAATAATAAAAACACGATTACTAGGTATTAAAAGTGCGCACATGTTGTATGACAATAACTGCTCTGATATTTCCAGAAAACAACTGTGGTTTAGTATACTATATTTAATTTATAATAAAATGTTCATGACAAAGAAATATGATTACACAACACATATATAATGTAAATTGCTGAATGTCACAAAGTGTAACACGCATTGCGCAATAACTCTTCTCGATCTATTGTGTTTTGAAGAAACCCCAGTTGTTACATATTCTCTTCCCCTTTTGGAATATTAAGTTTGAATGACTTTGCCAAAACTGTCAATTATTGAACACTCTGCTTAGTGCATGCACATAACACTTTTGATATATATCTAGGCACCATTTCTCAAAATCCTCAAAAATGCGCAATCAGGAAATTATGTTTCGGTCCAAACCATTTAAGTCAAATCGCACTCAACTTGATAACATAGCATACACATATCTGTAAATATGATATCAATTGTATATCTGCTTTGTTTAACCAGTTAGGTACAGTGTGATGCGCATTCATGTCATAGACGTTGTATCAGATACTATTTCCACGCTGTGGTGATAAAAAGTAAGTACAAAATGTTTAGATATTATGGTGATCACGTAATAGTAAAGATGTAGTCGATCAAAACAAACTACCAGTGTTTGTCAATGCTGTTTTGTGTTATTTTAAAGTAATTAGGCCTAATTCTACAGACTGTATCTAATACTAGATCAACATAGAATGTATGTCTGGCTCTACGAACGTATTTAATCACACTAGTGGTTGTGCATACACAATGTATATTTCAATTCTATCAGGTATCATGCATTCCAGTCAATTGAAAAAGGAGTTTTCTGAAAGTCTCCTATTAGGTAAGATTGCTGTTGTCAGTTTTTTGAGATGGTGTGCTAAAAGTTAACTATTTTTTTTAAATAATATAAACATAGCCGAAATTCATCGAAACTGTTATGTGTCATTAGACAAACACATACTATTTATTAAATATATATTATTAATATCATAATAATTATTTAGAATAACGAACTGCCACAATGCTCAACTATGTTATGTCCGTTAGTGCCGTCAATCACATCTTTCATCTTTACTGTAAACATCAATCAAAGCACGTTGGTCGTCGTGTAGCGCGTGTTCGAATTTCATGTAAATAAACAATGTATTTTACACTCGTTGTATACGTCGCTATGAGTCCCATATCGAACAAGACGCGGCACGACGACGGCCGCCCTTTAATATGTACTCTTATTAGTTGACAATTATTGTATTCGACAATGTAGATATTGATTGTACATTGATTACTTCAAAACGTACACATTATAACTATAGCGCTGTGATGCCGCATTTTTATTTGGTGCAAATTTCATTTGCTATTTGACGTATATTGTCTTATGGATTTGAAAATATTTCTCATAATATGTACAATGAGACAACTTTGACAGAACTGCATTTACCGGAGGTTAATCACGTTACCTGGGTGGTCTCACTGCCCTGAAATGACCTAATGCAAAACGCTCAACAACATGGGAATCCCGGAGATTATCAATGTAAATACATTCATTGAACGCCTATGAGTCCAATATATATTTAAAGTATTTTATTCATGTGTCTTTTTTTTCATACGGGTTATGTTACTAGTCAAAAATACCCTTTTTCTTTCTTATACACAAAAGCAGTACAATATGGTAAGTTTTCTCTATGGATAAATTGCACTTATATAACTACGTGTTCACAAGGGAATTGTTCAGTAAAATAGGGAGATTTGTTCCAGACACACGTCTTCAACTCATTCTCTCTATAATTACTCCACAGTGGAAACACGAAGCATAATAGCCGTGTATTCATACGACTACGTGCACGGAATGCAAAATACATTGTCTTGTATTTAACGCGAGAAGAAACATTATCAGTTGAACGGCACAATGCAAGGACATTAATAAGTTATTAAAGATACAACCCATTTGCTTTCCAACATTTATATTTTGCCATATTTTCTACTGAGCGACTGTTCTTTACATTCAACGTTATTTTATACATATGAAGTTAGAATGCCTATATACTTCACGTTGCGTTTATCCAATGAGTGACTGTGTAATATCGTATGTATCAAACTTGTGTTGTAATGCTCGCTAGCATATACAAATGACTACACGATAAATAATAAAATAATAAATACGAAATTGCACGGACACAAATTTGGATATCTTATTTATCACAGTTTTATAATTTGTCTAGTTATGTTAGGGGGGTGATTAATTGGTGACGTTACAATTTCAAATTGCGTGAAAGAAATACTTAAATGTGCAACTCAATAAATACTACATAACGATTCAGGGAATAAATAGAAGAGAAAAACATGTTTCGTAATTGATGTTCAAAGCCATTACTACGCGAGTTAAATAATTGCTCAGTACGTTCTGTATTTCTTTGCCCTCGAATAAAGTTTACCAATAAGTATAACCACTGCTAATTTATTTTGATAATTTCTTTGGAGGAGTCAATGTAATTACGGTTTGAGGTATACATTGGTGCCGGTTTACTAATATTGGAACTACTTTTATCAGCGGATTTTATGGCAATTGACTGGATCATCGAAGGGCTAGTCCTTTTCAATGTTGGGAGAAATAGAAACGACGTACGTATACCACCCAATGGTATCTATTGTGATAACGTCACAATCAGCTGTAATACCCAATGGACTGTATCACATTAAACATAAATGAAATAATTAAATAATAACACATGTTTGTGCGGGCAATATCGCGATATGTTGCCTGCCCAAGGGATGATGGCCTTTACCATATTATGATAAGCCTTCGGCTCTGGCATCATCAATATTATGGCCATGACCAACAGCCCGAAGGCAAATCGTGATAATACTATTGTATTATTATTTTATCACATTGAACCAACATCCACCATGCACAATCATATTTAACCACACAATCAAACCCGCTGTCGCAAAAAATAACACATATTTGACGCATGCAATATTTTATTTACAGTTAACAAGTGACATATTACTCAGTAGCATACATACATTGTACATAGAATGTTTTCTGGAAAGTGGGGGGAAGACAGTAAGCGTTACTTTAT